AAAGATTTCCCACTCAAGATCAAACACTTTCTGGTCTTTTCTGCAAGAAAAAAAAAGAAAGATTAAAATACAGATAATGTAAAAACCTGTAAACTAAAAGGAAAAGAGTACAGAATAAGCAGTAACTTCCAGTTGGCAAAACTACAAGCAAAAGTCTAAAACTCTCTAAACCTGTATCCGGCTGCAGCCTGAGCTAATAACAGTCCAAGCCTCATATTGCCCCTCACTTTCTTCACGATACCATTTACAATTTCTTCGTCAAGAAAAGCGTTGTTTGACTTACAAACTCGTTTTATTTCAGCGTAAACCTGAATAATAAACCACGACATAAAAAGAAAAAAAGTAACTACTCACTAGTAAAAAATTAATACTCGAAGTAATGTCCAAAACCAAGCTGCTCTACCTGCTCATCCTTAGGGGCTGGTATCCGAATAAGGGTGCACCGACTACGGAGTGGTTCCGAAACTTTGTTAATTGATTCGCAACATAAAATTAGCCGACAAGTTGAAGCGTATTTTTCCATCGTTCGACGTAAAGCGTCTTGTGCATCACGTGTGAGGTCATCAATTTCCATTAAAACGACAACTAAACTTTTTTGAAACTTAGAGAGAAGCAGTGAAATACTGTTCAACAAATAAGTGATTAGGAACAAACAAAATCACTTGCAAATAAAAAATTCAAGAGAAAAAAATTTCAAAACCAAAATCAAAACTTTAAACGACCTACCCTTAAACGGCCTTTGTGCTTGAGGGTTGATCTGTTTGGTCTGCGCCATACCTTTGATAACTTCTTGGACGACTAAGCGATCATGAACCCCAACTTCACTGCAAATGCTAACAGCTAAAATGTTATCTTACTGATGGCCTTTGTCCTATTGCTGAGCCAGTAACAACTGCTCCGAACCGCACTGATAAAGGAATATATAAATAAATATGAAGGTTATACGAGCTAGCTACACATAGTTTTCTCTAGCCAACCTAACAAACTAATGCCAAAACACTAATTTTCCTTGAAAGAAATCGGTGGCTGATAACCAAGAACTTAGTCAATTCTGGGTTTCTTGATTGACCCACTTTCCAGAAAGAAGTGTGTTTAACGTTTTATTGAATTTTTGAAAGGCCTTTCTATAGCCTAATACTGGATTTTCTAGTGACAAGCGAAGCTGCAGAAACAAATAAACAAATAAAATAAGGAATGAAATACCCCTGCATCAAGAAAAAAATATTTCTAGGTGCTGAAAGTAGATACTTTATAAATTACCATCACAAAGTAACCAACTTATCAAAAGCTCATACCTGGGCTTAAGCTGAATGTGATAATTACTAGTAAAAGTCTGTAGCTCCAATTTTCTTCCGCTCAAAGCCTGAAAGTACTGTATTCCATGTCTTATGTTCTCAACACCGCTACCATACAGCTCCTTCAGAATACAGTTAATAATAGTCTTCTTGCCTCCTCCGCTAGGCCCGTATACTAGAATGTGAGGAAAATCACCGGCCTAAATTGATAATCATTACCACTCCTCTACTAAGGTACACCGAACTCCATAGATCACTTGGCAATAAAATGACAAACAGGTGTAGAAAAACACCTTGACTATGTTTGAGAGGTTGCTAGCGATATCTTCGTTATACCGAAGCGAGGTAAAAGTACGAGGCCTGTCCTTATCACACCAAAGCGCCATTACCTCTTTTATTAGGTGAAGTCGTTCTGAAATCATGTCGTAAGCTCTAACTATTGTAACGGAATTATTCCACTCAAAAAAGCAACACAGGTATTTATGAAATAGACTATATATTAAGCTTCCCAGAAGATTCTTCTGCAGCAGTTTTTCAATGTTTGTTTAAATTCTACACTTGCTAAAAACGGCACAGCTTGAACAGTCAGTCAGAAGAAATGATAAATCAACAGTCTTCTTTTTACCGAATAAAGTCAAAAACCCTCAGCACTAAAAAGACAGGACTTTTGAACGCGTCTACAACAAATCAGGAACGAAAGTTCATTTTTTACAGTTCCAACTCTGGTCGCCTTTTACGGAGTCAACAGTAAAAGATTCAAGGCGTGAAGGACGAAAACTTGCCGAAACGCAAAAAAAATGAACTACAGAAAATGATCAATCACTAATAATTGTATCCTTTATTACTACCTCGGTAGATATTTGAATTAATACATAAAACTTATGGCAAATCCAAAATAAACGTCGTCACGACAATGCACCCGCTATCTGACGGAAAACTTCAACGATCGGAATATACGGCAATCATCGTTCGGTAGCTTTTTTAAGTTTGGCGGTATAAACGATGAAGACTCGACGAATTTCAAACGAGTAAAAATGGCAAGATTCCAGATGTACAAACCAAGATCACATTGCTCTCATAAAAATTCTTCTAACAAAGTTAGAAACGGAGATTCATAAAGCCGTCTTCAAACTCTGTTGACTGTCGCCTTCCGTGCTTATCGGGAAACCTCTAAACTTTCCATTCAAAAGCTGGCAACTTGTTTAACATTCAGTTATAGCTGATATACGACCAATTTTACTGTTACTTCTTTGGCGGCGGATGTACGACTGAGATTTCAAAAATTCGTTACTGTTTCAGTCGGCTATGACGAACTTTTTCTAAGGACTATTTATCATTGTTCATGTTTGCGCTAAAATGACGTTGCATTGATAATCTGAAGCGAACTGGAGAGCACCAACAGTACAGTGTCAGTTTCCGCATTATGCTGTCATCTGAAAAACAAGATAGGGGAGACCTTTACGTTGAATTTCACCCATGTAATTTTTCAGTTAATCCTCTGCCGAATGGTTTAGTTGTTCGGAGCACGTCTGTGTAAGAATTAGTCCAAAATAAATTAAAACAAAGATATTTGTAATTTAATTGTTATTAAATAGCGTGTCAGTCTATCCGAGCATTCTGAACATCCACTAAGGGCAGTATTAATAACGGTTAGTAATTTAGTTGCATCTTCATTATGATGGAACATTCAAAGCATTGGGTATCTCTGTACATCATAATCGTTTTGCCGTGTTTTCAATGTTCAAAGACTAATTTCATTGAATCGCAAGAGCCAGTTTACGATATCAAAATTGATGAAGTTCCGTTGGGATTCGCTAAAGATGGTTCACAAGTTCTCTCCGAGGATGAATTTGACAGCAGCAAAGTGGTGAGCGTAGTTTCATCCCTTTTTCCGTCACTCTTATCCAGTTTGTATTTTGTTGGTATATCTTTGTTAGTTACGGTTCAAATGTACTATTCAGTTAAATGTTTGGGATAATCCGGGAATTCTTCTCTTCAACCATTTTTATACAGCATCACCGGTTGTTCTGCACAATCCTAAATTAAGCAGTCTCCCCAGTCGATATCCTTATATGCGGACATTTTTTTAGACATTTTTATAAATATTTTTTCAGCTTGAAAAAGGAAAGAATAATCTAGTGATGACAAGTCAATATGGACAAAAATTTATTTGTACTCTACCCGCTCCACCGAAGAAAAAAGAGGAGAAGGAGGGGTCTCATGAACAGGAAAATTTGCCTCCTAACACCATAGCCAAAATTGTATCTGCTGGATTCTACACAAAGAAGTGTACAAATAGAGTGAGTTTTGCCTTTGTAAATTTTGCTATTTGGTTTCTGAAGTTTTTGGATTTGAAGTTATTCCCTTATCGTTTGAAATTCCTTCAAAACTGACCTTTGACTGCAATTAATTGAAAGGAAATTTGGTATGATATATCAGGGTCGTTGGGCACGTTATTTAGCGACTTGGTGGATAGTTTGGCACAGTCAAACTTATTCAGAAGATTAAAAATTTTGCAAATTTTTTTTGGTAATCTGTATTGGCTTTCTTTTGCATGCAGCGGTACTTGCATATTTTTCCTTTTGGGATATCCTCTGCTAGAAAATGTTGTTTTAAAAAAAAGCTTAAATTTTTGGAGTTGGAACCAGAAATGTCTTAGAAGATTTTGTTGTTTTCCTATGTGTAGAGAGAGTCGTTTTGTTTCTTAAATGAGACAAAACTATTTTTTTTCTGAAAAGTACTTAGGTTTGTCTTGACTTATTTTTGAATTGTTTGTAGGAATTTTTATGGTGGACTTATGAAGTTTGTTACGGGTCGGAGATTAAACAGTATCATGTTGAAGGTACAATTAATTCTTTTCTGGAACCATAGTAATCGTTGTTAGCTGTGCCAGTTCTTGAAAACTGAAAGTTTCTTTAGTATGCTTATGAAAGATTTTTCTTAATATTTATTATTTTGCACTTCTCGCTCTTCTAGCAGCGGGCACCGTCACAAGTACGGTTTCTCTCGGGTTCTTTTCAAAAAATATGGAAATACCTACCTTTAAGCCTAACTATGATCGACCTCTTTATTTTGAACAGCAATACTCAAATGGTACATTATGTGATTTAACAGGGAAACCAAGACGGACTGTTGTAAGGGTCAGTTTAGACGTCAGGTTCCAAAACTGTTCGTTTTACACATAATCTATGTATTTTTCTATTTGCTTACTTTTAAGACCCCTATAGTTTTTATTATTTTGTAGTACTTTTGTGAACAGTTACTGGCGACTAATGAAGTTTTCATTGACGAGGTTGACGAGTCCTCAACTTGTGAATATGTCATAAATGTTAAAACTGGTTCATTATGCAAATTGAGCTCTTTCTTACCGGTCGGTCGAAATCAAGAAATTATGGATGTAAAGTGCAGACCTTGGTTACAAGGAGAACAAGTCTCCATTTTTATTGCAGAAAAGGAAAACGAGCGGTTAGAAAAGGTAATTCTTCTTTGCTAAAGTCTTTACCTTCGTCATTGGTCTGTATAAGGCAACATTACTTTATAATTGCTTGGTTTTTTAGCAATATGGATATTGTGCTTTGCAACTTCTGAAGGACTGACACCGTTTTGAGCAAAACGCAGTTTTAAAACCGTGATTATGTTTCAGGAGGCTAAGAACCAGGCAGCCGATTTTCTCTTTAGAAAGGCAACAAGTATTCAGAAACAGCGCTACAGCAGGAAACGTTTAGCGTTGAAAAATTCAAGAGCTGCTAAGAAAGCAGCGTTGATTGACAAACGTTTGAAAGGATTATACGAATCTTATGTAAAGGAAGCATGGCGTTTGAATAGTGAATGTAAAGAAAATGAAATTCTTCCTTATATTAGAAGATTTTATGAATGTTAAGGAACTGGAATTTTAATTGTGTTTTGTTTGTTTCTTTCTCTGTTTATTTCTAAGTGCTAATTTGCAGCTTCTTCACCGCAGATGGGTATCACTAAAATCGTGCTAGATTACTTTGGCGATGCTGAAGGTAGGTATTTTGGCTTACGGATCTGCCGGCAAAAGCATCTCTTGAAAGGTTGTCCTCGTTACTTGTTGTGATGTTATGTTTTTTCTTATTTAGAGGCGTATCACAGTACGAAGGATCAGGAGCATGGTGACTTATATTGGTACTTCCACGACCCCTTTTGGGACAAATCATTTTTTCCACCAACGTTTGGCTACGTTCGGGCTCTTAACAAGTTTGAGCAAGTATGAAATAACTTTTCTTTTTAAAACGGTTTTTCATTTTAGTTAATTATTTTTCTTACTTCTCTGTAATTAGTTGGTTATTTTTCTTACTTGATCTCTGTAAGCGGTTTTAATATATACTTGCTTTACTAACTAGTCAAAAAGTTCTTGAGCCTCCACTAGTTATTTATGGCCGTTATTATTAGTCTCTAGAAACTGGATCCTCTTTGGGCTCAGTAGTTTCATTAAATTGTTTGTTTCAGTTAGAGGTCAATGATGGGAATCTTCTGAAGAAAATTGGTGACAGAAGCGATCGGAATGCGTTCATTCAGTTTCTTCACAAAGTGGAGAAAGGAATTATTACAGAGGCTGATCTTAGTAACCTACTTGGGCCACTCTCTACTGTTTTTCAGGAGGACCGTATTCCAACAGTTGAAAATTCCTTCAAGATTGGAGTTAGCTTGACTTCTTAATATGCCGTTATATTCCTAGAGTTGTTTGAGTTTTAGCGTACTTTTTTACGTTATTTTTCCGAAATTTTTAGGTTTTTTTTACTTTTTTTTCGTGTGAATTTCTTTATTTGAATTGTAAGCAAGTAGACCAAGAATGGTAATCTTGTTGCACTTTCTGCGATTTTTACAAATTTTTATGAAAAATTTCCAGCAAACAAATTGAAAGCTTACACAACTAGGCTGGATGTTTCAGGTCGGAGATGATGGCAGCGTTCTTCACTCAGCGTTTCAGAAACGTTTTGTTGAGGATCGTCTGAGATTATTTGAAAATAGAGTGATAAAATCAATAGTCGGTGGTGACCGTTTTGCACCACAAGTTGTAATGAGCAAAGTTGCTAGGGATTTGCTATCTTTGAAAAACTTGGTAATGAAGGTTTCTCTTCGTTTTTTTCGCTAAAATTACAAATATAATGCTACTGTGTGGTAGTATTAAAGCTGTGTTTAAATTCCAGCGTGTTAATGTGGTTTTTTCAGCAAGAACGATTTTATAAGCATAAAAGTGACGATTCATCACGAATTCTGGTCTCTTACGATACTGTAGAGAAGGTTTTCACGTTATATCAGGTACCTGATGTCATCACCTTAACACTTCTTAATTTATAATTGCTTTCATAAAGCATTCGAGTTTATTCCAGGATGCGTACAACCGTGCAATCAGAAGGTTTGATTGTGGGGATTATCATATTGATTCTAGTGGGGATGTCGTTGATGGACCTGTTATCCAGAAAAAGGTTTTCGAAGTAAAAGGTATGGGAACAATGTATTGGTTTCCCATAATACATGTATTACGCTATTAAAAATGTCCCATTCGCTATTTTCTATTTCTTTTAAATGTTCTTCTTTGTCCACGTACGATGGTTTGCCTTTTCAGATATGAAGCCGGAAAATATAAATCTGTTGTACTATGATGAGTTGGCTCACGAGCTTCATGAAGGTTGGGACTTACTGACTTTTAGGGTTTTATTTTAGGTCACTCATTTTTGTTGTGAAAAGTAGTTTTGTATTTGATGGTGTTTCATCCTTTCTACCTGGAATCTTTTGTTCATTACGTTCTTATTGGAAGCAGTAACATCTTTAAAAATTTTGCAGTTTTCCCGGCAAGTGAATCCGGAACCGCGTGGGAAGAGAATAGGGCGCAGAGTCGGATGGTGAGGAGGGCAAAACGACATAATTTACGTGAATTAGTTGAGGTACTGATAGGCAGATATTTTAAGGATTGCCTGCTGCTGCTAGCCCCTTTGATTTTTAAGAGAATTGTTACAGATTTACTTCCGTAAAGGCACTGATGAGGTGCTACCAAAAGAAAACTTTTCCCGGTCACTTTTCAACAAGAATGTTGAGGGAATCAAAGCTGTCAAGGGTCTTTTGAAATCGCTTTTGAAAGACTCCGGATTTTCAGGTTTGACTTTGCTCTGTTTCTTCTCAAAATACTATACTTATTCTCTTACACTTTGGGCTCCAATTAACTAAAAGTCCTGTTCTTATCACTTGCTCTCTCGTAGTAGAAATGGTAACAATTTTTTGTTCAGAAGCTGACATAACAATTCATGTCGTAACTTCTGATGGTGAAATATTGGGCACGAGCGCTGATGACTCAAGGGTATCAAACTGGATAAAGGCTCTGCTGGAGGAGCAGGCGAAAATAAATGATGAGGTAGACAAGTATCAGCTTCTTGATAAAGCATACTCGTTTGGGACTTCAAAAGAAGAAAAAGATGCTCGTGGCTCCGGAAAAGAAACGAGACGCTCAGATTTACCTATAATACGTGAAGTTTTATGACTTTTTTGGTTAGTGCTTTTGGATCTTCATTTGCACTTGTTATGCCTAGCAGCATTCAGCAAAGACTAATTCTGCTGTGGTAGAAAATAACTCTCATTTTTAGAAATATTCCCTAGAAAGCATTTGTGCTACTGAAACAGCTGTGGAGAGTGATGGTTTTATTTGCTACAAAGTTTTCTCAGTGTAATCTTCGTGGCAATGAAATTCTAACGAGAAAGAATTGTGGTCATTTTTCTATATTATCTTCGCTCCACAGGTAACAATCGCTAGAGATCCTGTCATTTGTTTTTTATAAGGCTGAGAAGGAGCGATTCAGCTGTAAATCTTGTTTTTTGATGTTAACCTTGCTGTAGTTGGATTGCAGCACGACAAAACCAAGTTCTAGTCATTAGTGTTTGGGGCTTTTTAATGTATTGTTCATCAATATCTCGTTCTTTGTAAATTCTGAGGGTGTTTTGCCTTTTCTTCATGAAATGCCTTCCAGTGTCTCCCAATAGGCCCCAGTTTACTAGATATTTTGCTTGGTCTTATTTGTGCAGTCTGAATCCCTGGGTGTTCTTTGAAAAGGAGCATTATATCTTTTTATTGAACTTCTCAGCAACTCAATCTGATAAGGGCATTTCTCTTTCGGTTGTAAAAGAAATGTAGAAATACTCATGACTTGTTCAATTGGCAGTGGAATGCCGGTAACTTCTTACCTCACCTGGTTTCTTTCAGTCTTCTTTTCTTCTTGAATGAGTACTTTGTAACGGGCCATCTGCTTTGTTTTTCCCACATCTTGCGGGTTAATTTCCTTTCCAAAAATAATTCCAACAAGTTTTTGCAAGCTGGTACAAGTTTCTGGTTCATGCTAGCGTCGGGATCTCGAAATTTTTTACATGTGGTATTTACAGGTATGTACTTTAAGCTTTACTTTGTCTACAATCCTTAGAAAGCCATTTTATTGATTTGACCACCTCAAATGGGAATAAACTAATAGCCGCGCAGCTGCTCAGGTTGCTCAACACCTATGTTTTAAACAAGTTCTTTTCCAGTACAGAGAACAAAAAAGAAATGCAGAGATCAAAGAAGCGTGGTGATCATGCCGGTCACCAACGACTGCGGAGATTCAGCAGGTAAAGCGTCGAATAGACATTAAGCCGACACGAAATGAAGTGTCCCTCAATCAGAGGTGGTACTATTACCTGATGGCGACCCAGCCAGTAGGCAGCATAGAACAAAGTGCCCAACACAGGAGAAACGTTTTGAGGGAGTTTTTAGGAACTATTTCAGAACCGGCCATATAAAACTTACAAAGTACCACGAGTGGAAGGGAAGTACACCGGCTGAACCACGCTGGCGCGAAAAGCATACAAAATTACGGCAATCTGCACCTCCACACTTTATACAGAAATTCCACACGAAAACGCAACACCGCATTTGTAAATAAAAACCAAATCAAGACAAAAATTATCACCCAGAACAGAATCACGAATCGTCTTCAGCTGATTCAATGACACAGTTTTCAGATAACACCAATCTTCATGAAAGTTTTGAGTAAAGCAAATTATAATACACGTTACAATTAAGATATGGGTGTAAACGTTACTATGGTCTGGACAACAAGACTTCAAATTACAAAGTTAGATGATGAACTAATCTTAATGACCAGAAACCATAAACTCTCAAGTCGACGTTTCATTAAAATGTCCAAGACTTGAAGTCAATATCAATAATTTAAATTAATATCCCAGTTGTTAGAGTTAAGCACTAAAGAACTAATACCGACTTCAGTAAGCTCACGCAACTCACAACTCAAGAACCAAAAAAGTCTCCAGAAAAAATACATTATCCCAGATACACCACAATGAAGAAGGTAATATCACAACCTCACAATTATCTCCTTTTAGAGTTAATAAAATCATCTTCGAATCTATCCTCACAGTCTCTTTTAAAAAAAAAAGCCACTAACCTCTCCAGGGTTTCATTAAACAAAAAATCACAGGCTAGAGATTATTTTCTTAAAAGATAAGCAGCCTAAAAAAAACACCTAATAACATTGCATCAACCGAAAATATATTAGCCTGGCACGGCAGATCTAATATCATCACAAAATTTCATTTCAAAACAAATGACTTTATAAATGACACTTCTTTGAACAAATTATTCCTGAAATTACTGCTCGCCTTTGCCACCAGTTAGGAAATCCAGTTACTAATTTATGGACCGAAAACAAATCTAATAAAGCCACCTTTTTTAGACTCCTTCTAAGACGAAAATGAAACACGGGTTCACTAATCAAAATAAATGGCCGCCCAAAGATGCAACACCTGATGAATATAAGAATGAAATAGGAATTTCCAATGTGATTCCACAATAAACAAATGTAACTAATTTTCAATACTGTACAGCGAGAAGCAAAAAACACAATTCTGTGCCGTAGTCCTTCCAAAAAAAAAAATTCGGAAATTTCTCAAGAGCAGCTCTGAAATCAGGAGAAAGGCATCACACTCGGACTACATTTGCTTATCTAGTTTCCAACAAATAACAATGTGTCCATATTACTTTAGAGAAAAAAGTTTAGAAATATCGTGCCAACCTAATACTATGAATGAAACAAAAATGAGCGAAATAAGTTTGAAACATTCATTTAAACTCGCAATGCTGCAAAACTTCATAAAACAAAATGCACTGCGATAGAAATGGACTAGATTGAGCTGACAGAACTCTAAAACACGAAAATATAAAATAAATTCTAGAGCACAGGATGAAATGGTCTTGATCTCCTGTTAATCCCACAAACTTACATCCTGCACTACTGCCGTTTCTGCACGGGCAGCACTAGAAGGCTTTTCGCTGGATGTGCCAAGTTGGTCAAAGTTGGCAAAACAGTTATCCAACGATGCAAAGGGATCCTGAAAAAATACGGTAAACAACAACTGATCATATGACATTCTTCAGAAACAGTGGTAAAACTAAAAAGACTTAACGAGAACAAATTATTTTCAAGATGTTATTAGCTGAAAGACTAAAAGTACAGAACAAATGACAAATGACTTCTAAACCATTTAAATCTCAAAAAAATTTTTTAAGAAAAAATTATGTATTTATAAACCTCTTTGGCAGCGCCCTCTACCTTCAAATCTTTCTGCTGGACAGAAGACTTCTGAGCACTAGAATTTTCCAGTGATGGCCACTGCTCCTAAATATTGCTGTTTAAAACGAATGATTTCAAAAACAAATTGGCAAACAGCAGCAGAAATTTTGACCTAAATGAATTTGAAACCTTACAGCAAAATAAACTAAACATTTTAATAGGCTATAACAAGAAGCCCCAGAGTTCTTTCCTAGGCACCGGCTCAGCATTATCAGAGCAAAACCTTCGAGGTAAAGACTACAAGGCACAATAAGAAAAACGGCAAATAAAACAAACAGAAATTTTCTGAGTTGCTGGCCCCCCAAGAGTATTCGAGTCAATTGTTTGTCCAAAATGAAGCATCCCATTTGAAGATACAGGCAACCCGTTAGGCATACTGACAGGTGCAGCAGTTCGAGGAACCCCTTGCGCGTTTATATTCCCAGATTCCAAATTTGTTCCTAAGACACTTGCGCCAGAAGTACCAGTGCTCGCGTTAGCGGCGGCAAATGGTGAAGCGGCAGCAAACATGGCAAATGTCTCTTTATTCATAAAATTCCCCATCAGACCGCCAAGAGCTGGAAATTAAGTTACGAAGACAAGTAACGATAAAATAAGTTTAAAACCTAATAGTTTTGAATTTTGAACTGAGAACAATCAATAAAAAAAAAAAGCAAATTTGATAAATCGTGATTGTTTTAAAAATAAGCAATAGAAGAAAATCGGATACAGCTACATACCCACAGAAGGCACTGGAAACTGTTGTTGCCCTAAAATATTGCAAGTAGAAGCGTAAGGGAATCCGTTGGAGGGGAAGGGGCCGGAAACTGGGTATTGAAACGGTGCACGCTGCGGGGGAACTCCTGCTTGTAAAGCATCAAACGGCATACCCTTTAAAAGAGCTACTACTTTTGCAGCCTTTAAATATATAAAGATAAATTTGCTTACGAAAACCACTACACACCTCACACTGACTGCAAATCAACCTGCAGGCGCTTCAAGTAAAAAATCAGCATCATTTTTGCAAATGCTTTCATTAACTATGAACAAACCATTACTAACTATTTGTACAAAGAACTAGATCCAATGCCCTCTAATGAAGAAAACGTAAGTCAGAGCCAAAATAAAATGAATGCCAACCCCACCTAAGTTATATTTCTCTAACCTATATCCATGACACTTTAGCCCACTTCTTACTTTACACTGTTTTAAATGAAATTTTGTTTAATTATTTTCAAAAATTTTTAATCAAGCATCCAAAACAAATTTTCAAGAAACCTGAGACACTTGAGGAACTCCTTGCACTGGAAGAACAGGCCGAACCAGAGGTTCCGAACCAAATAAAGCAAGAATATCAGCATTGCTCTTTTTATCTAAAAATCAAGGAAAAATGCAGTCACGTATCCTAAACCTGTATTTACCTAGAAACATAATACAAAGACCTGAACGCCTCTTATACCAAATTAATGAAAGGAACTTGCTCTACAGAAAAAAAACCGAGAAAGGATGAAAGCGCTCTTTGCGGAGATAAAGAAAAAAATAAAGACGAAAACGCAAATTATCATAAAAACATTAATCCACAGTAAACTTTTCAACTGCAAAAATTCAACTTACTATCCTACTATTTCAAAAGAAAAAAAAATGTTTTGAACCAAAAGAAGTTTGTAGCATCGACCACAAGAATGGGATATTCACAAATATCAAACAAAACTCACTCTGGGGACTGGAAGCGTCTAAAGTTGCTAAGTCACCTAAATTAGATGTTGGCACACTTTGCTGCATATTACTATCAGCTCCAGAACCTGCAGCAGATGAAACTGTGTCGGGAGGCTCAAATCCAACTTCAACACGTGGGGCACTTACAATTGGACCAAACATATCGTCCAGTTCTTCATCCACTGTACCATCAGGCTGAAAGTAACGATTATCAAAATAAACACTTCTACCACAATGTTATAATGCTCATATTTTATGGCAGCTTCAATCGAACAAGTACAGTTGAAAATCAAATAAGCAATAAATAAACTGACATCTCGTAAAAAAATTCTTATTCAAAGTAACTTAAAACAAAATAAGTTATTGGAGAAATGCAAATAAGAATCCATACAACATCACCCCAAACAAAAATAATTCATTATAATAGAAAGGACGAACAGTAAAAACCACAAAAAAAAAATATACTTTTTCTGCTACTTGTAAGGCATCCATACCTACAGATACATCGCCAATACCGTTGTCGTCATTAAACAAAGACAATGCAGATGAATTCCCAGCCTAAATTTGAAACTGTACGTTATCTAACAGTAAAATTAAATGCAAATTTTTATCCACTAAATTCTTTAAAACTGCAAGTCACCGTAAAAACTGCACCTCTTAAACCTTTTCCTAACAAGTTAAAATTTACTGCAGGAGTTTCGTTATCCCACCAACGTATCAGCTTTCATTTATTATATGATCGTATCATAAAAACTAATCAATACATCGTGGCCGTCCTACTTTGGTTTAACTTTTACAACACTTGAAAACCTATTTTATTTCTGAAGCTACCTAATTTGTAGCGTGTTTTCTGAAGCTTGCCCTACAGAACGTGAAACAAGTAGCGAAACTGAAATGAGGCTTGAAAATCAATTTTAAAAGACCATCTTGCCATAACGTTCCAAAACATTTTCTGTGAAGAAACCCTTCTAAAAGTTCAAAATTAGCTTGTCTTAACACAGCTATGACTATCACTTGCAAACAAAACCTACCACTTCATTTATCAAAAATAAATTTTGATACTCATGCAAGATCTACGACACAAGTACACTATAAGAAGACCAATGTTTAAGCAGAGCCGTACAATTTAAAAATTCAATATCATAAAAAACTATTTTTATACAAATCAGTGGGGAATTACTTGGCACCCTTGGAAAATCAAGCTTTCAAAAATCTATCAAGAGAAATTAATACTTTTAAAACAAACACAGTTCAGTACACCATTCCCGTCAATTGCAAAGTCTTTTGTTTCCCTGCCAAGTAACAGATCATGAGAAACGCGTCATTTAGATTGAACTCAAAGTTATCCATATAATTAGCCCACATAACTTCGGATCCAGACTCTCAGCATAAAAATTCATACGCAGTTCTAAATTCTCACGTAAAAGCAATGATTTCCTAAAATTACTGGCCAGATTTATTAATGTTCAAATGCTTCAAAGTATTTCGACCTGATCAAACCTTAACACTTAGTCGAAAACCATATCGCAAACTACGTATTTGCAAACATGCTTCAATGTTGTCACTTCTCTGGGTACTATGACTAAAAAGAGTGATTAAAGAGAATTCAAACCAGTCTGACCAACCCGTAGTCCAAAGCCATCTGAAACAGCTTCTTAACTCTTTCACACCTCCCAAGCTTTTTGTTTTAAATGAAGAGGAGAAATCAGTACCTTTTTATTAGGTTCTGATGAGCTGGCTGAGACAGTGTCGGAGAAATCGAGAAGTTGCATGACACCAACAGCTGCGGAAGTTGGAGAATTTTGTTTCACAGATGTGGTTTTCGGTGACGGCAAACTGGGTATTCGCGAACCTTTTTCAGAAGTTTTAGATGACTGCATTTTTTTAAACGAACTCCGGTCTAAAACTATTCCCAAAATAAAACAATTTAATAAAAGAAAAGTTAATAGAGAAAATGATTAACTTTACTCACCAAATATAAAATAAATATTTCTGTAAAACTTTAATCATTTACAATACAAAAAAAAACCAAAGAAGTTACGTTGTCCCTTTTCTAAAGCTGGAATCAAGTCAGCAACATCGACTTTAGGAGCTTGCCAGTCCCTCAACATATACCTAGAAATTATATTGGGAGGTAGATGACTAATCCTTATTGCATGCGCCTCTGTACAAATAAAGAGCGTAAAACATTTTACCAGATTCAGTACAGTAATTCAACTTCAGTTCATGAAAGAAAATAGTGATGCATTTCAATGTAATGAAAAACAAGGGTAGGAAAATCGATTAAAGAAGAACAAAGCAATAAATAAGATAGAAATAATCAAAACGATTTGAGTTTGAAAGATAAAAGCTTAAAAACCGTATTCAAACCAGAATATTCCTAAGTCCTACCTTTTTTGTTCGTATTTTGCTCGTATAAACATCTCAAGCTGTTGTTCTGTTTGAGGCCTTCTGTAATCCCGTGGCAATTCCGCTTCATAAACGGCTTTTGCCTTTGCATTACCCATAACACGCATACTCTGCACCTGTTCTGGAGTCCAAGAATCCAGATTCACCGACTTAACCTGGAACATTTGTTATGTCAGATGAAAAACAATTCAAATTAACCTTACTCTAAATAAATATGTCTAGATATCTGTTTAAAAAACAATGTTCAATAGCTGCAGAAAACCCCTTTGCCAAAAATAAGAAAGAAAAATTCCTCAACCTCTCTAAGAGTCACCAACTTATTAAGAGAAGCAATCTCTTTGACTTCAAGATTTTCAATACTTATTGAGAGTTTTAAAAAGAAGTACACTAAAACAAAACTTCTTCTAAATAATGCAGTTTATCACTACGTCGTAGAGAAAAACAAACTTTAGAAACTTGAACTCCAATGCTACGATGAATACCGGCACACCTAATACAAACAAAAACTCCAAGATTCCAAGATGCCCAACGTGGCTGCTTTGCATCACAATCAGCGCAATATTTATTTTCCTCTTCCATAAGTAAATCATGAAGAACAGCTTAAACAGAAATAATTTTATAAGAACCACTGTATTCCAATATAAAAACAAATAACTGATTTTATTAAACTATTTTAAACGATATTCGTCCAATGCAGTAAAGCAGAATTGCCTGATAAAAGTACTAAATGTCATCAAACACAATTCTGCTAAACTTTCGACCTACCTCCCGTCCCTCCTGTTAAATAGAGAAGCAACATTTAACTAACAATAACTACGCTGAATATAATAAGGAAAATTATTTTTCTTTAGTTTCCCACCCTATCAGACACGCTAAAAAAAGTATCACTTGAATGAACAAAGAAGTAACAGTTGTCAAGATGAATAATAGATCAAAAATTAACTAGACCTTGTAAGCGTTCAGCCTGGGCTTTCCTGTGATTCTCCAGCGATTTCGACGGCATTTTATATTTTATTAAACTGCCAGCTTAATTAAAATGAGAAAAAGAAGGGAGTTAGGTATTGAGAGACTGCAACTAATTTAGCCTGAAACAGGTTACTGCAGGAAAAATAAAAAACCACGTTTAAAATCCATTGATAAACAAAATTAAAAGAAACGCAAAAATATCACTTTTTTGCGCTGTTGTCGGACTGTAATTTCTTGTAATCCTAAGATCATCATTTAGCAAACCAAAAAAAAAAAAAAATTCAAATAAATATAACTGCAAGAAATCTTTTTCAAGAAGTCACCGCTAAATCTCAAAAAATATTTCTTGTTCAGAAAAAAATCAATGCAAACTCCTCGCAAAGAACAAACAGCGTTCAACACAACACATGTCAATCTATAATAATAACAGACACACACACAGCAACCAATTTTGCACTTTCCGGGTGTTTCACTTCGTTTGACAACAATCAAGAGTAAAAGACAAAAAAAAAAAAAAAAAAAAAAAAAAAAAAA